TTTTATATTTTCTCTTATACTCTTGTTTTAGAGTGTTGTGAGGGATAGTTAAATATTTGCTTTGGAGAGGGTAGTCTATGTGTTGTAACAATTTTCACATAGTGTTATTCTTTGGTTGTCATTTGACAACGGTTGTGATTTTTCTCTATTTTTAGAGTTTCCACGTTAATCTCTTGTGTTGTTATTCTGTTCCTCTTTTTTCTCCATGGTTTGTTTTTTCTAACAGTTCATTCTACCATTTCTTGCATCGTCCAAGACATCAATAACTACGGCCCACCTGTAGCTATTGCTACAGCCGTAGTTTTCTCAGCTTCTAAAAATTTGTCTATTTCACTTCTTTAATGCCCAACCACATCTGTAATGAATAATCACTTATGGTTGGTTTTGGGTTACATGTGGGACACGGATAGCATTGATTTAGAGGGGATAAATCACTGGAAAAAATATTTGAATGCATAGAGATTAAGATTGAGAACTCCTTGTAATACTTTTCTAGTTGTTATTCAAAGTTAATTTTTCTATTTTTATTTTTCAACTATTTTTTTTGTTGTTATGGTGTCTTTCATTATAATTTGTACATCTACTATGGTTACAAGTGAGTATATTTTTATAGTCTTGGAATTATGAGAAATATCTAATGATAGATTTTCTATAGATTCTAATCTTCATTTTTCCATTTTTATTGAATATTGTGACATGTTGAAATTGAATAGAGTCACCAATGATGTCATTAGACTTCGACTTTTCCCTTTTCATTAAGAGATAGAGATCGAGTTTGGCTACATTCTCTACCTTCCAATTCTAACACAATATGAGATTAATTAAAAATTACTTTTCTTTTCAAATACTTTCCTCTCTTTAAAGCTTCCAAATTAAGGTATCAAATCACTAGTTTACCCAAAAAGACGAAGAAACACTTTATGAAGCATGAGAGAATTTTGAGGAGATGTTAAGGTTTTGCCATCATCATGGGCTTGAAAATGGTTAGTTGTTCATACCTTTTACAATAGATTTTTATATATTAAGAGGATGACAATAGGTTTCATTATAGGAGGGTTCTAATGAACAAAAACATAGAGGATGCATATGCTCTCATTGAAGATATGGCGCATAACCACTACTAATAAGAAAGTGGCTAAAATTCCACGGAATGTTCACCCCCACAAAAGAGGACAGATATGAAATTGATGATTTAGATCAGGTTCCTACTAAAATTAATGTTTTATTTCCAACATATGATAAATTGAGTGTTAGTGATATTATCCCTAATGTTACACCTTGTAAAAATTGTAGGATTATTGGTTATTCTAGTGTTAGGTCTAGCCTACAAAACCTTAATTACTTGCACAATTTTCTAAAAGAAAATATGTATTCCATAACATATAACCCAAGGTGGATACACCATCCAAATTTTTCTTACAACAACACATTTCCCCAATAGACTGCTGGACCCTCGACTTTTCAAGGATAAAAGGATGGTTTTTTCCCAAAAAGTCCAATCTTGAAAATCTAATTGAAAATTTTATGACTGTTAATTCTCTATTTTTAGGATTGAAATTAATTTTAGTAAAACAAATATAGCAGCAATATGTTAAATAGGATGTGATTACTTGCTATGAAGAACGGGTTGAGCAAGAAGTCTTATTTTATGAATAACATGTTGAGTTGAAATGTTTTAACATTTGGAGCAACAAATCAGATAAGATGTCCTATAAAGGGTCATTCGACATCGCGTATGTGCTGAGATGAACAGTTGAATTATGTTATGATTTAACAGATGCAGAATATTCTGAGGATATTATGCAGTCCTATGTGGTGCTGATTTAAAGGTATGGAAGAATCAAGAAGAATATTGACTTTCTAAATAAGGAGACTTTTTAGGAAAAAATTGATTGAAGATCTATTTTATTGCATAATCTTCTACAGTTTTGTAACAGCTGATATGCTGTTATTTGAAGCCCAAATCCAGTTGGGAGATATGTTATAAATAGAAGCATTGTAACCTAGGAAAAGGTAGCAGCCATGAATAGAAAAGATGTAGTTATTAGGGCTGAGTTTGTGTCATTCTCTAGGAGAGTTAGTTTGTGTGATCAACTCGACATGTGAGTTGAACTGTTGTTCTTTGAGTTGTAAGGTTCTGTTCTCACTCAGAAGCCTTTAGGTAATGAGTTGAGTATTGTTCTTGGAGGAAGCTTTTAAGCAACTCCAAGTTGTGTTCTTAGTCAAGAGTCTTGGCTAGATATTGTCATGGAAGTGTGTCTTCTAGTTTTGCCGTCATGGAAGTGTATCTTCCTGTTTTGTCTAATTGTTGTTTGTGATTGATGAGGGCTTCATATCTAGGTGAGTCTTAGATAGTATAGCACGAGTAGTGATTAAGTGAAAAGTTGTAAATGGGGGAGTCTAGTTTCAAATTGATATTATTATAGTGGACTTGTTCCTGACTTGGTATTGCCTCCAGAGTAGGAGAATTGCTCTGAACTGGGTTAACAATTCTTGTGTGTTTTTAATGCTTTTCAGTACTGTTTTAATATGTTTATACCTTGCTATGTTGTTTTGTTCAGATCAGATGTCCCAACATGTCATAGGACATCTGAAGTCTGATATACCAGAATTTCAATAACCACTAAAAAAATAAAATGATGATTTTAAAAACTAAAACCTGCATACAAACAAAATTGTTAGGCAAGTAGCGTCTAAGGTAGATTCCATAGTCACCCATAATAAAATGTTGAAGATTCAAATCTCTCAAATAGTACAAAAACTTGCTTCATCCCCTAAACCTCTCAGGACATTTCTTGAAAATCCTGAACAAAATCTAAAAGTGCATTTAAATGTTTTCATCCTAAGAAATGGAAAACAACTCAATGCTCAAAGGAGAAAGAGGGGAGTGACAACGAGGACAGAGAAAAGGTTTAACCAACAAATAAGGTTATAGAGGAGAAAAAAGAAAAAACTTATGTCTTTTCACCGTCATACAAATCATCTATCACATCTCCATAAAAATTTTCCATAACTAATATTGAGGAGAAATTTAAAAAGTTTGAGAACGGTTGGAAAAACTAGAGTTTTTTTTTTTCTCACATAAACTTTATCTTAAATGTCATCATATGATAAATCTCTAAAAAAAAAAGATTTTGACAAACAAAATAAAGATAAATTACATTGAGACATTAGCTTTAACTTAGGAATGCAGTGTCATAGTCCAAAATAATTTGCCTCCAAACCTAAAAGACTAGGGAAGTTTTTTTATTTCATTAGTCATTAGAAATATGATATTCGAGCGTGTTTTGTGCGATCTTGGGGCTAGTGTTAGCCAAATTCCTTTAACGGTATGTAAAAATCTTGATATCAGTGAATTGAAAACTACAAACATCTTTTTACAATTAATTGACCAGTCTATCAAATATCTGATAGGAATTTTAGAGAACTTTTCAATAAGAATATGTCAATTATTTATAACCACTAATTTTGTTGTAATGGAAACGAAAGAGGACTCTCAAGTCCTAATTCTCCTAGGGAGGTCTTTCTTTAATATTGCGAGAGTAATTATAAATGTTAAGCATGGTAGACTTTATTTTAATGTGGGGATGAAAGGATTGAATATATATTGTCGAAGCTAATGAATAGTCCTTCCATTGAGGATTCTTGTTGAAGGCTTGATATAATAGATCGTCGTGTAAAGAAATGCTCCTTTGATTCACCTTTTCTAAACGTGGAAGCATGTTTGATTGGGAGTACAGATCAAGAAAGAAATAATGAAGAAGCTGAAATATATGACAAAATCATGGATGAAAAATACTACCGTTCGAAGCCAAGGTTTTGACGTGGTGAAAGATTCAACTTCCCTCCAACTTTACCTAAAGCAATTGGATGTACTATTGAGGATATAAAGGGGATAAATCCTTTTTGTTTGTGTGCTTAGAATGTTGTTTGAAGAGAACAATAAATCCTCTAAAGAATATCAAAGGATATTAAACTCTAACATGAAAGAAGTGGTGAAAAAGGAAGCACCATCTTGAAGAAGAAGAAAAAACAGTCAAGATATTGACCTTAAAGAAGTGTTGTGTGGTAGGAAACTTGTGGTTTTTATTGTCTAATTGTATGTTTTATTTTCTTGGTAGGATTATAAGAAAGACTCACATGGAAGTGGAAGCGAATAAATTGATCTACCAATAAAAATCTTCTTTTTTTTTAAAACGCATAAAATTTTCTCCATGCAAAGCTGGGTACACTCCACCCTAGCAATTGCAACGGTCGTAGCTGGTGAAAAACTAGCGCCAGTCTCTCTTAGGTTTCTTAGTTTATTTTCATCGAGGACAATGTTAAATTCAAGCATGTAGTTTTTATTGTCTTCATTAGTTCTTTTCAGTTTTGATTGAGAATAAGTTATCAAATAATTTTTGCTTGAACTAAAATTATTGAATTTAGAAAAAGAATTGTGTATGTGTAGGTAGATGGTAAATAAATTTTTTATAGGGTGAACCAACTCTAGATTTTTAAAAAGTTAGCAAAATAGTTGAAGTCATTCGTTCTAATAAAAAAAATTGGCTAATCCAAGGGCTTGCAAATTGACAATGTTATTTTCCCTTATTCCATGTTTTAAAAGAAAAGAACAAGGGAATTATCTAAACGTGCAAAGGATTTTTCGGTTGATTTATTATTGGGATTAAAATAGGGGTTTTAGAAAGAAAAATCCAAGACAATTGACAAATCTACATAACTAACTAACAACAATTACAAAACTAAACAGTCTTCAGAAAGCTAACTGAAAACTGACTAGAACTAAATTACCATATTTAAAGCTACCTTGGTAACTATAGCAGGCTAAGTAAATGGCCTTTAACCAAAAATTATAAGTAATAATATAAGCCAAGTAAATAGGAAAGCAAAAACGATTCTAAATGTTACATAAGTGCATCAAAGTGCTGACAAAATACACCACAAAAAATATACCAAAAAGCAACTACCATAGCAAACTCTAGATTGTATTAATGATACAATTACTTATGCAGAGCACATAGGCAACTGTTTTCACCTACATCTGATGCTATACAATACGGCTGATACTTCCCCTCTTCAAACCAAGCAACACGCTTCTGCAAAAGCTCGTTTAGAAATTCATCAAGTTTCTGAATAGTGACATTTGGCATCACCACCACATGAGCGATGTTCCCCTTGCATGCTAACTGCCATTTGCGGATAAATTCCTCATCATGAGGCCGCTCAAATACAACCGTGCTGCTAAGCTCATTAAGCATTGCACCAATCCCAGCATCGATAAGGCGGTCTTTGAAGTAGAATGCATTTCGCAAGCATTTCTGTACTTCTTTCTGGAAGCCTTTGTATCCTTTCCGGTTCAAGGTATACCAAAGGAATATGGGAGCATGGCCATTTCGACTACCCATGATTGTGGCATCCCTAGATGCAAGGTATTCCACATTCCTGGAAAGAGCATTGATATGCTCCAATCTTGTTATCTGCACCCCACAAGGCATGGGGCACCCCACAAATTTGTGGCCAGAAACACTCACACTTCCAATAGGCTTCTTAAAAGTTACTTTTGGAGCCTGAGATAAGCACAATTTTAATTATTAATGTTACACAAACCAGCTATGTCAATGGACACAAAACAAAGAATATGGCACAATTCACATAATCACAGGAATAGCTATATCATTTTCTCAACCTAGCAACCAAACAATCACATATCCAATATTACCAAACCTATGAGACCAAAATATTGGATTCTTTTTCTCGCTACGAAATATGCAAACGACCAAAACAAATGACAATAACACAGCAACATTCTCTATCAGAATATGTGGAGATAACAAAAGTTTTGATGCTATTATCTCACACTTATATGATTTACTTATGGTAACATTAGCACTTACTCGTTTCACAAAAGGCATCATGAGACCAAACAATGCCCCATCAACGTGGATGTAGAACCTGTCATGTGAAAATCCAGCTTCTTCAAGTTTCTGTATAACCAGATCAAGATCATCCACAGCTCCTTTCACAGTTGTACCTGCAAAGTTTCAGTTCTATGAGCCAAAATTATAAAAAGGAAGATAAGGGGAGGCATAGGACTATGAGAGAGAGACCTATGTTCACATTTATAATTGCTGGCTTGTCCTGGTGACAAAGAAGTTTGGCCTTGAAATCATCACAATCAATCTCGCCTGAATTAAGAGTGTCAATCTTCACACATTCCATTCGGTACATACGAGCAGCTTTAAAAATTGAATAATGTGACTCCCGCGAGGCATACAAAATCCCATCTGGTAACACCTCTCTCCTGCAAAATTCATTTAAACCATATTTCATGTTCTTTACAAACTTTCAAAATGTTGAAGCACATAAGTTTAGCTGAAACTAACCCAACTAGGATGCCATGAAGATTGCCTTCTGTGCCACAGTTTGTTATATAGCCCCAATACTCATTTTTCTCCAGTTCCCACAATCTGGCAAACCAATCCAAAACACCAACTTCAAACTGCCGGGAGTGGACACCATAATTGCTTTCAATAAATGGATCTCCAAGGTTGTTTATGGAAAAGTGCTGAAGTTGAGAGAGTGCACCGTAATCGAAATCCAAATTATAGGGGTAGCCTGCAATAGATTTTTCATAAACCAGATGAGAGGCTAGGCCTAATTAACTACAGAGATTAGTCAAAGAGGTGAGCTTTACAAGTTACAAAAATCTATACAAAATAAAATTACTTTACAAAATGGAATTAAAAATAATTTAAATGCATTGTTATAGATTCATTAAATGATAAGTTCCTAAAATACAAGGCAACATTACAAGCATTTCCCCCCTCTATAGGTATCTTAACATACTTTAAGTATAAGAAATTATCTTAAGAAATAGAAAGAGTTATTCATGGATCTAGGTGATTGAATGTTTTATAGTTGTATTGTTACCCATCTACTTTCTCACATGCTCGACCTTTAAATGTGTCTTTTTGGTGCATTAGGGCAGTAACCAATGAATTTGGAATAGCACAGACGCAGTTGCAAATTTATTCTGAACATGAGATAACAGAATAGGACACTTGAGTGAAGTCTGCATGGAAAAAAACATTCAAATGCTTTTCTTGGTGTCAACATGGAAAACATCAAATCTGCATTTAATTTCTTTTTCAGAGTAAAATTGGGTGATACTCACCTCCAAAATAAGCCATAATAATTGGTAATAAAAGCACAAACAATCCAATATTTTCTGGATCATAGGTTTGAAAAAGAATGGATTAAAAATAAAGGTTTGAGAAATAATGAAAACAAGAAGATGATTTTATCGATGTGATCTTGCTTAGCACTAGATCAATGACTACCCTGGTATCTCTCCCTCTAAGATCAATCTCCAACCATACAAAATGACCATTTGCCTTCTTTTCCTACCTCTTTATATCCTATTTCTGTTTAATTTTGTCAGAATAATAATTAACAATTGTTAACTCTAACTCCTTTTACGAATAGAAAGTAGTTTGTTGAGCTTATCTAAAACTTAAGCTGCAATTTCCTGCAGACACAATCGAGCTTCCTTCCTTAATCCTTAACTAAAAATAAAAATTTTAATCCCAATATATGTGAATGGAATATCCCACCAAAATGGACATAGGTCTATGAACTGAAGAAATAACAATAATTTTTTGTGCAAATATCTTCAACAATTAAAAATCTAGGATTTTGAGTGATGTACGTTCATCGAAACCTCCTTCAAGTGCATCGATTTATCTTAAAGGTTCTATTCCAATGAAAATTTAGAGGACACAAAAGCATGATCAGAGGTTTTATAGTAACAATCAGGTAAATCCAGATTCCAGAAAACACTAAAAGTTCAATACTGTAGAGAACGTATTCAAATAAAAACCCAGGAACTTTAGAGAAAGTTCTTGCTTTTGACCCAAAAATATATGGTCAACACCTGTCAAGTCATAGTACCAAATCTTGAGTGCGATTGAAGCTAAATCCTAGGGGGAAAATCAAAATCAGCGCAATGAGTTGAATAACTTGGTTGATACCCTGTTAGCAAACTGGGTTTGTGTTTAATATGAATGGGAACTAAAGTGGAGGATTATGATTCAAGGCTGTTACCGCCAGCCAATCAAGAGAAAAAATAGAGAAACATTGGAATCGTCCAATATATGCAGGTATTTTGAGAAAGGATTTGATTAGAGGGAGAGTCCAAGTCTCTCGGATACTCAAGTTTTAAAAGATATTTCTATCAATAAACACTATTTTCTTCTATAGCCAGAACCGGCACCAATAATGCCCCAGATACAACCATAACATGTATGCAATCAGCAACGTAAAAGAATTGAAAAAGGAAAATATTGTCAAACCTAAATGATACTTTGTCCTTTCAGTTAAAGATTTTCTGTATCTTGCCAACACACTTGCCATATGAGCATCACGATCCCCAGTAATGTCATCATCATCTTCTGGCTCCGTAACTTCAAGACACGAGGTATGAATATTTCTTCCCAGAACTATTTGTCTTTTCTCATTTCCTGCAGCAAACTGAGCCTCCACCTTGTCATTAATGTCTTCAACTACAGGAGGCACAGGATCTTTGATAATGGCGGATACATCAAAATCCTCAGGCAATACATCAACTGGTCTGTTAATGCTTAAATCATCAACCAAAACATCAACACTTCCAACCATTTTTGTTATCCACAACGAGGAACACCTAACAAAATTTGGTTTATAAAATCAAGGGTAGATCATAAAAACATGAACCGAAATCCAAATTTTTAAAAGAAATATACTAATGAATCCCAAAGCGCCATCCCCATCCATCGTGTTTTTTAAAAAAAAACTTATAAAAATGCATAACTCTTAGAAACTTTAATTGAAGTCTCCGCATGGAAGTAAATAACTAGTGTGATTAATACTTACATCTAATAATACATCTCAAATTTATTATTCAACTAACTTTAAGTGGATCCAAACGTAAATTTCCTTTAAATCAAATATCTAATTGTAGGTAGAAACTGAAGAATAAGATACAAAATCAATTTTCACCATAGCAGAACCGATCATAAACTGCCTTTAAAATCCATAAAACTATATAATATAGCACAGTGAATGTAAATATGCATTATAATAGCACAGACACATCTCGAACCGACGCACTTGTGATGTGATTACGATTAATTTATTCATTTTTTTCTTCAAATTATGATAGAAGTTTCAGTGTCTGGTGTCCGTGATTCTTACTGGTAAGTAAATATGTAATATCTCCGAATTATAACTGACCGATATATCCAAAGGCAGAGCAGTTTCAATCAATATAACCTAAGGATTTGCAGTATATGAAATCAGAAGCAAAAATCACGATGACGAAGATGATAAATAGCGAAAATGCATTACGCTAGAGCATAGTTGAAAGAGAAAAACGAAGATGATGATGATAGATCTGAGAGAATAAAAGGAAAGAAACTTACAGAAGATGAAAATGAAATGTGAAATAGAGAAAAGAGTTGCACGAGAATCGGCACCACAGATAGCCGCTAGCAATACAGTGAAATGGGGCAATCAGAGAGAGTTGCGCAGGATTTTTTTTCTTCTTTTATTTATACACAACGTTAGATCTCTCACGTGCTTCCACGCACACACGTGAGTCTCTCTCAGCTTCACGGACTAACTAATTACAGTAGTAGTAGTATTCAGTTTCCAAATTGGTAAATTACTCATGCTTTTTGCCTTTTCGAACAAGCTAGGGGTGGCAACCCAAAAGCATTTCTAAACAAGTTTTTCATAATATATTATTTGTTTTGTCTATTTGTAAACTATGTTAATGTTCAAATAAATTTTCTATTAATACTATTTTACATTCAAATTACTACAACACATTACATTTGTATAAATGACTAATATTAAAAATATTGTATTATAATAAAATATTGTGTTCGGATTTTGAGAAAATTGCCATTAAAAAATTTATTGGATCATTTCAGTCGGAAAAACAGAAAAGAAAAATATAGATGAAATAGAGTAGAGAGAGATGAGAGAATTTGAATATCAAATTCTAGAGTGAATTGCAAATGAAATGAGAAACTTTATCTATAGACACAGGATCCAACTGAGTGGAGAAAAATCGTGGAAGAAAATTGTGGGAGAGAGTGGAACCGACCCAGTCAAACCAGTCGTTTTTCACTTGATCGGCAAATCAGACGTTGGACTCTTTGAGACCAAGAAAGCCAGTCAAAATTTAGGTTAAGACTTGGTTTTGGTGGATGACACGTCACTATTTCTATAATTAATTAATTTTCACTATTTTTAATTAATCGATAGTAATTAATTTCCACCAAATTAATTAATTATTAATAATTAATTTCCGCTAAATTTGATTCCAAAAACTTAATTCATCTAGACCAAGCCGAGCTGAGTCGAGTTGGACGGACAATGGCAGCGACATGCATGTGTGTTTAGATTGCATAGTAGTGTGTCCTCACTCCTTTACAAAATTGGGTATTCCTTGGGCCCGACTCATTTGACCAAGTTGGAATATATATATATTTGTATTCCTCCTATGTGGGACTAAAATGAATCCTTTCAAATTCACTTTCATATTAGTTCTTACATGTGCTCATTTATTGCCCATTTAAAGTCAATAAATCATTCAAATTCCCACTCAAAATTATCATCATTCTAAGGTTTTCAACAATCCACCACTTGAATTTAAAAGGTAATTTTAGAAGTAACGTCAAATATTTCTAAGATCGTGCATAAGCAAAGGTGTGTACGACTTGAACCTTTGTGTAGTGAGTAGGATTCTGTTTCAACAAGAGTGACACTATTGTCTTGAACTTCATCTCAGACATCAGACCCACACAAAACCTTTTCTTAAGGTGTATTTTAATAGTCTGTGCTTTAATGGCCCTGGATGTGTATCCCGGTTTGGTGAAGGCTCTAGGAATTCTGCCTCGCAATTCCATAGGAATCGGCCAAGTTCCATAATCACAAAGGTGAGTCTATCAAGAGTACTCTTTTAGCCTAGGTACTCCCTCATACAAAGTATAGATCTCATTAAGAGTTTCTATTATTTCATCCTCTTATTACTTCATGATTCATGCTTTACTTGAATGATCATCTCATATTACTCACAACTTGTTATTACTCATAACTTGTTACTACCCATTGAACCTATTGCTTGATGTTGCACCCCAAAATTTTCCCTCTCTTTTCTCAAGACACTTCTCACAAAGATCTTCAATCGCTCAAGATTGCACAAGTGTTGACTAGGTCAAATCACCTCTTAAACACTGGAACCCCAAATTAGGATTTTGATTTTCACAAGGACAATTGGACTTATAATGCCTCAAAATATTTTAATGGTTCATTATGGGTCTTCAAGAATACTCATGCCAAGTTTCAAGTCTTAGATCACAATTTTGCTCAGTCAATTGATCAGATGACTGAAAATCAGTTATATTGGTTAAAAAGTCAATTATGCTCAACCTACAGTCAACCTTCATGACTTTTGGTCCCCGTCAGCATTTTGAAGTCATATTTATCCATTGATCAAGTGTTGATCACAATTCCTCAATAAAAGCATTCAATTCACCAAAAGGGTAAAATGGTCAAGATTAGGGTTTTGACTGTAATTGACTGATCATTGATTTTTGACCTAATATATGATCCAATGGTTTGAAACACAATCTCAAGGATTAAAATACAACATGTTGATCTAATTACATGGCTCAAATCATCTCTCAAGATCAATGGATTGATAGTTAAATTTTGGATCAACTGATGAAAAGTCAACTAATACACCAAAAGTCAAACTTTGACTTTTTTGGTGAAATTTGAGTCTCAAAGATCAAAATACATCAATACATTAAAAAATATGAAGCTTTATCATCAAGAAATCAAGAAAGTCAAAAATCAATTTGAAAAGTCAAACTTCTCAAGACTTAGAAATTTTTCTATGTGTTTTGTACATGACGATTTCATTACTTCATGTCAATTTTTCACCAAGATGCAAGATAATTTAAAGAAAACTTTTTCAACATGAAAGTTTTAGATATTGATCAATTCCTATAAGTTCTTGGATTTTGGGTTACAAATTCATGAAGTCATGCACTTTTTCTAAAAACACTTAGTGGAAATTTTGATTAATTTGGTCAGGATTTTGCCCTAACTTCTTGGCCAATTTTCACCTAGCTACAATTTGAATTAGCAAAAATGGAAAACATGAAAGTTGTAGAGGATGTTTCAATATTTCCAAAATGTCCAAGAACTTGAAGAGATCATTTTTGATCTAAGATATTCGAAGAGATGAAGATGGCATGATAAAGTTAGATTTTAAACCATTTTTGTGATGAACTCAGCAAAATCTCAAACCTATCCTACATAGTCCCACTTTTTAAGCCATTTGACTTCTAAATCTCACCATGATCATAAATTTACACAAGTTCTAAATATATTACACAAAGATTAGAAGCATTGTCCAAGTCTTGATACCATTTTTAGATAATTTTTCATAAAGTCACTTTACCATTTTGGTAAAGCAAGCTTTATGCAAACAACTCTTTGCTTAAACTTGTGATTTACTCCTAATCAGATCCTATACAATCTCAATTTCAAAATAAATCTCAAGAAGTCAGTAAAAGCATGGAAAATCCCTTGAATCACTCACTTTCTTCATCATGAAGCAACAAAGTCTTTGTATTTTCAAAACAAGCCAAAAAACTTCAAAACTTCAGAATTGATGTTCTCACTCATTCTAACATTTTCTCTATAAATAGAGATGCATTTTGCAAGCCATGGCATGGGATTGGAAGACTGAAACTCCATCAAACTCTCTAAAACTCAAGATTGCACTTCAACCTCCATAACTTGTCATTTCTGCCCAAGAACCTCAAACTCACATTTCTCTCGTGCGTTTCCTCTCTAAACCAATTTTAAAGCTTCCATATATAAAATATAGTCCATCCCTACCCTTGTTCCACAACTGTAACTCCATTTTCATCACCTTCCAAACTCAAAAATAGAGTTTCGCAACTGGACTTCTCCAACACGATTCAGTCATCCTCGGCACAAACTAAGCATTGCATTAGCTTCTTGGAGGGTCACTGAAGTTATTCTAATCATCACAACACCTTGAGGAGTGCTCAAACTCAGAATATGATTTCCAGTTTTGAGGTAAGTTTCCTTAACTTTGAACTCTCTCTACAAGCATTATTATTGGTTCATCTGTAAAGATAAAATATAGACATCATAGCCCTGAAGCTAACCATGCCCTTAGATTTCATTTATATTGCCTGAGTAGTGTGAATTTCAAGTTTGAACTTCCTAAAAAAGTTAGGTCAGATTTTGGTACCAACTGAAATTCTCATTCGTCTTTGATCCATTGTTTAATTTATTTACATATTTGAAATCATGATGAAATTTCCAACAAGTTTGATGTTTACAATTTCTCAAATGGTTGAGAAATGAGAAAGTTACAAAGTTCAAAAATAGTGAGAAGAAACTGGCGCGAGGAAGAAGAAGATGATACAGTCAGGAATGTGTTTAAAATATAATATGTTAGTTGTGCATAAGTTAACGGATGTATCACCACTCCGGTGGTTAAAGCGCGCGCCTATGACCCTTGTGACATGGGTTCGAGCCCCAGTGTCACATTTTGTTATTTTTCATTACATTTTATAACCTTTTTT